GTGGGCATGTGTGGATTTGGCATTTGCCCCCAGCTCTATTCTATATCATTCATGCCGGAACTACTGCTGCATAGCCCCAAGTCTGAAGACTTGGCAACTTCACGCCTGCACCTGACTCTTGCGCTATGATACGCGTCGCCTATGACACCCCTCGGAATTTCCCACCTTGCTCCCCCTTATGTTCTGGCTGCCCGTTTTGGATCCATCAGTTGCCTGATGATCGTAGAGATACGTGAAACTCGGAGTTGTGACAAAGCTTCCAAACTCTCTCTTGTGTACAAGGCTCTGCCCTACATGGGCATTGAGCACTCTTCGGACAGTGAAGCACACCACTTGACTACACACCCTAAATACATATTATGTTCGCTATGCCAACGACGTTACGTGCACTGGCAAGGAATGCATCTGGCACACAGCATTGTGGAGGTGGTTGTGGGTCACCAGTCACGTGGGAAGGTCACAAACGTGCTGTTTTCGCGGTCTGTAAGTTGTATCAACAACGCTCAAAGGGTGGAAGGCCGCCGAAGAAAAAGACCAAATTGCGCGGCGCAGCCTTACCAGACACGGGAACCAGCCAGGCTACGGCAGTACCAACGCAGGTAAGTGTGGTCAAATTTGGATGTGCACAAAGCAACATGTCAGAGCCTAATCATGGATGTAATCCTTTTTATATTAATTCTCTGTATTCATAACAGGTCCCAGCCACAGCCACGGGGATCGAGACTCGCACCGTCGAACAGCCGGCATCATTAATGCGTGGCGCAGCTACGGCTGAACAGACTACCAGTGCCGAACAGTCTGTACCACAATCACAGTACACAACAGCAGCCACGCCAGCTCCCTGTGCGCAGCAGTCCGCATCCGCTACACCCAGTACAACCGTTGTCGGTGAAACAACAGCAGACACTCAGGTATACAGGCAGAATTAACTAGAAATTGATGAAACAAAATTGGGAATGAACGCACATGCGCGCGCGCACACACACACACACACACACATGCAAGCACGCGCACACACAACACAGTGTTCAACGGCAGCAGACATACAACATCAAAATCAATGCTTGTAGGCACCTATACAAAAGAAGTGAATTCAGTCGAGTTCTACGCATGCAGATAACCATTCTCAGCAGTAGTATGGTGCAGCAACTGTGTACACTACTATTATCTCTGTACAGATCTTTGCAACGGCCATGGCAAGCAGTGCCTCACAGCAGCAGCTGCCAGCACCACATAAGCCCGAGATATCTATCGACACACGCGCATCAGTATCCACACGGGTGCGTATCTCTGTTATAGAGTAGTCTGTGTATCCAATCCAACCAGGTCATAAAACTAAAACAGCAATTGTCAGATTAGATCATAGTAGTGGACATAGTACAGAAAAGAAATGAGCTTCGCAATGGACTGAATATAAAGAAAGGGAATGATAGAGAAAAATGGAGCTGCATGTGGCAAAATTCCTTGCCAACCACAGTAGTCAAAAGCGTGGCATTTCTACTTGTTTATTGGCGTCGTTGCAGGTGGCTACACCACTAACCCAGCAAGGACTGACACGCCCGGTCACCAAATCGGCTACAATCGCTCAAGTCCTGGACGCATCACCATCCAAGCTCCGCGGAGATACTGCTGACAGGCTGCTTGGTCACCTGGTTTCCGCTCGTTCTGACTCAGGGAAGCTGAAGGTAAAGCGAAGTGAGCGTGGCAGACCGCAGGTATATCAAAGGCTTACATTCGCTGACACATCCTCCGAGGCAGCCAGTGCACGTGCGAAGAGACGGCGAACAGCAGAACCGAGGTCGCTCGCTGAGTCTGTATGTGGTGGAAGTGCCGGTGCCAGTGCCCAGACTGTCTGTAGCAATTCTTCGCAGGATGAGCAGCGACAAGCAGATGGATCTCCTCAGAGAGGCTGGGTTGGCACCACATTTGCCCGAGGCTCGAATTGGCTTGGCCATCAAAGCCGACCTCATACTCCCGTGGAATCAACTCAGGAAGCTGAGACAGTGGCTTACGCAGTGTGGAGTGAAGTTCGAGTCAGAACGCAAGATGCGAACAACACTAGCAGCAGCCCTTCCGCCGGCCCTTACACGGCCAAGGACGTGCCAATGGTGGTGAAAAAGCAGATCACACTTGCACCAATGGTGTACATGCCCAGCTTGGAGGTAGTCATCAACCACTACCTCCAGCTGTACAAGGATCGTGGACTACTGACATGGCACGATGGTGCAATACCGGAGAGCGAGGTTTGGATAAAGCTGGGCGGGACCATGGCGGTGACAGACTCGTTTAAGTTCTCCATGCAAGTAGCCAACCTGCAGCACCCCAACTCGCCGGACAACACCGTACCGTTGTGTGTATTCCACGCAAAGGACACCCAAGCAAATCTGGAAAATGCACTTGGTATGTACCGCAATGAAGTCTTACACCTTATCTCACATGGCAAATGGGAGGGGAAGCGGCTCGTTCTCTTCGTCTTCGGAGACTACGAATTTCAGTGTAGTATGTACGGGTTGTCAGGACCAAGTGGCCAACGTCCGTGCTTACATTGCCACTGCAAGAAGAAATCTATGGAACACCAGTATTGCAGAGAGAGCCTGAGGACAGTGTACCCCGCTCCCTGGCCACCCTCAGTAGCAACCTGCTTGAGTTCATCGCAGACGGGGAGAGATTACCAAACGCCAAGGTACACAACAACGTCATTCGTCCGGCAATCCTTCCTGTGCCACTACCCAACGTCATCGTGCCAGTCCTCCACCTGGACTTGGGCATATTTGCCTGGATGTTCGGCGCCATGCTGAAGGACCTGCGTGAGCTGGACAAGCTCTTGGCCAGCAAGGTCCAGTCTGCTGCTGGAGATAGCGACGCTTTCGGACGGCTATCTGGCCTCTATCGCGACCATCACGACGCAGAAGAGCAGATAGCAGCAGCGTCTGAACAGGCCTCTGGTTACCAGCAGCAGCTGAACTACGTAGCACTGCATGCCCACAACCAGGGTGTTACTGGCGATAACTTAGAGTTCGTGTGTGAGCAGATCAGAGCGGAGTGGCAGAAGGCCAATGACACAGTGGTGGAGATGACAAAGGCAAAGGAGGGCATCTCGCAGCAGATACTTGCCGCAACTGCTGACAAAGACATCTGTGGGCCTTGCGAATCAGCAGTCGAACCCGTGCTGCAATCCCACAACATCAAGCGCCAGGTGTACCACGGAGGTGCATTCATCGGCAACCACGTGCACCGCGCACTTCAGCCCGCTGTCCTGCAGTCGATTGCTGCTGCTCCCATCTCCGTCATTCAGGAACGCTGGCCCGACCTGACGGATGTTGCCAGCGTTGTCCAGCTGCGCTACATGAAGCTGCTGGACGAGTACAGGAAGTGTACTTCTGCCTTTGGCCATTGCAGGAAGGTACACATAACTCAATACAGCAATTTATTCCCTGGGAGCTTTTTCGTCTGTTCCAAGCCATCAAATTCCATTATCCACATGATTCCACTTTCGATGCAGGTACAGGTGGAATCCTGATAATTCGAATATGGCTTAATTCGAACATACCGCTTAATTAGAAGTTTTTCCAGGACCGATTTCTGTCAACAAGATTCCCACATAATTTTTTCTGATAATTCGAACCTCGAACCAGACATGTCCGGTTAATTCGATGTTCCACGGATTCCACTTACATAGAAAATGTGTGGGATGTGTGCTGATAATTCGAAGTTAGCAAAGTGTAATTCGAAGTTCACTGTACACTGTACTGGTCAGTTCAGTTTGCATGAGCAGGCTGTCCCGGTCAGTTCAGTATCCGTGAAATCTTTGTCTAAGGTCCATAGCGCAACTCTGCGTGACCATGAGAGCATTTTGATATACAAGTCATTATTGTGTTGTGGGTTCATGTTTGGATAATTAGAATGTCCGGCTAATTCGACACACGCGCATCAGTATCCACACAGGTGCGTATCTCTGTTATAGAGTAGTCTGTGTATCCAATCCAACCAGGTCATAAAACTAAAACAGCAATTGTCAGATTAGATCATAGTAGTGGACATAGTACAGAAAAGAAATGAGCTTCGCAATGGACTGAATATAAAGAAAGGGAATGATAGAGAAAAATGGAGCTGCATGTGGCAAAATTCCTTGCCAACCACAGTAGTCAAAAGCGTGGCATTTCTACTTGTTTATTGGCGTCGTTGCAGGTGGCTACACCACTAACCCAGCAAGGACTGACACGCCCGGTCACCAAATCGGCTACAATCGCTCAAGTCCTGGACGCATCACCATCCAAGCTCCGCGGAGATACTGCTGACAGGCTGCTTGGTCACCTGGTTTCCGCTCGTTCTGACTCAGGGAAGCTGAAGGTAAAGCGAAGTGAGCGTGGCAGACTGCAGGTATATCAAAGGCTTACATTCGCTGACACATCCTCCAAGGCAGCCAGTGAACGTGCGAAGAGACGGCGAACAGCAGAACCGAGGTCGCTTGCTGAGTCTGTATGTGGTGGAAGTGCCGGTGCCAGTGCCCAGACTGTCTGTAGCAATTCTTCGCAGGATGAGCAGCGACAAGCAGATGGATCTCCTCAGAGAGGCTGGGTTGGCACCACATTTGCCTGAGGCTCGAATTGGCTTGGCCATCAAAGCCGACCTCATACTCCCGTGGAATCAACTCAGGAAGCTGAGACAGTGGCTTACGCAGTGTGGAGTGAAGTTCGAGTCAGAACGCAAGATGCGAACAACACTAGCAGCAGCCCTTCTGCCGGCCCTTACACGGCCAAGGACGTGCCAATGGTGGTGAAAAAGCAGATCACACTTGCACCAATGGTGTACATGCCCAGCTTGGAGGTAGTCATCAACCACTACCTCCAGCTGTACAAGGATTGTGGACTACTGACATGGCACGATGGTGCAATACCGGAGAGCGAGGTTTGGATAAAGCTGGGCGGGACCATGGCGGTGACAGACTCGTTTAAGTTCTCCATGCAAGTAGCCAACCTGCAGCACCCCAACTCGCCGGACAACACCGTACCGTTGTGTGTATTCCACGCAAAGGACACGCAAGCAAATCTTGAAACTGCACTTGGTATGTACCGCAATGAAGTCTTGCACCTTATCTCACATGGCAAATGGGAGGGGAAGCGGCTCGTTCTCTTCGTCTTCGGAGACTACGAGTTTCAGTGTAGTATGTACGGGTTGTCAGGACCAAGTGGCCTACGTCCGTGCTTACATTGCCACTCCAAGAAGAAATCTATGGAACACCAGTATTGCAGAGAGAGCCTGAGGACAGTGTACCCCGCTCCCTGGCCACCCTCAGTAGCAACCTGCTAGAGTTCATCGCAGACGGGGAGAGATTACCAAACGCCAAGGTACACAACAACGTCATTCGTCCGGCAATCCTTCCTGTGCCACTACCCAACGTCATCGTGCCAGTCCTCCACCTGGACTTGGGCATATTTGCCTGGATGTTCGGCGCCATGCTGAAGGACCTGCGTGAGCTGGACAAGCTCTTGGCCAGCAAGGTCCAGTCTGCTGCTGGAGATAGCGACGCTTTTGGACGGCTATCTGGCCTCTATCGCGACCATCACGACGCAGAAGAGCAGATAGCAGCAGCGTCTGAACAGGCCTCTGGTTACCAGCAGCAGCTGAACTACGTAGCACTGCATGCCCACAACCAGGGTGTTACTGGCGATAACTTAGAGTTCGTGTGTGAGCAGATCAGAGCGGAGTGGCAGAAGGCCAATGACACAGTGGTGGAGATGACAAAGGCAAAGGAGGGCATCTCGCAGCAGATACTTGCCGCAACTGCTGACAAAGACATCTGTGGGCCTTGCGAATCAGCAGTCGAACCCGTGCTGCAATCCCACAACATCAAGCGCCAGGTGTACCACGGAGGTGCATTCATCGGCAACCACGTGCACCGCGCACTTCAGCCCGCTGTCCTGCAGTCGATTGCTGCTGCTCCCATCTCCGTCATTCAGGAACGCTGGCCCGACCTGACGGATGTTGCCAGCGTTGTCCAGCTGCGCTACATGAAGCTGCTGGACGAGTACAGGAAGTGTACTTCTGCCTTTGGCCATTGCAGGAAGGTACACATAACTCAATACAGCAATTTATTCCCTGGGAGCTTTTTCGTCTGTTCCAAGCCATCAAATTCCATTATCCACATGATTCCACTTTCGATGCAGGTACAGGTGGAATCCTGATAATTCGAATATGGCTTAATTCGAACATACCGCTTAATTAGAAGTTTTTCCAGGACCGATTTCTGTCAACAAGATTCCCACATAATTTTTTCTGATCATTCGAACCTCGAACCAGACATGTCCGGTTAATTCGATGTTCCACGGATTCCACTTACATAGAAAATGTGTGGGATGTGTGCTGATAATTCGAAGTTAGCAAAGTGTAATTCGAAGTTCACTGTACACTGTACTGGTCAGTTCAGTTTGCATGAGCAGGCTGTGCCGGTCAGTTCAGTATCCGTGAAATCTTTGTCTAAGGTCCATAGCGCAACTCTGCGTGACCATGCGAGCATTTTGATATACAAGTAATATTGTGTTGTGGGTTCATGTTTGGATAAGTAGAATGTCCGGCTAATTAGAAGTTTTTTCCTGGCATTTCGAGGTTCGAATTATGAGGATTCCACCTGTACTCTGAATTTGATCATGAATATTTGATCCAGAGCTGATATTATGTGCTGTTTATTCCAGGTCACACGAGCAGAGCTTGAAGAGCTGGAATCCAACATCAGGACCTTCCTCAAGTCAGCACGGAAGGAGGTGGTCGAACGAGGGCTTGGCCATATAACGCCAAAGCTTCGAATTCTGGAGAGCCACACCGCTCCAGCAACGGAGAGGCTGAGAGTAGGGCTCGGTCTGCTGGCCGAGCAAGGAGCAGAGAGCATCCATGCGGAGTTCAACACTCTTGAGCGAAGATACCGCCAGATTCCTGCTCTTCTGCAGAGGCTGAAAGCTATGGCTGAGCAGCATCTGTCCCGAACCTTGCCTCAAGCCATTCAGCGTCCCACGACAAAACGTCGCCAGTCGACATGATCTCTGGCAAGTATTGTGAGTAACCAACTAACTATTTGCTCTCTCTCTCTCTCTCTAGCTCTCCTGAACTCGAATGGATTCCTTTTTCTGCGGCGCAACTCTTCATAGGAATGTACTCGGGTGTGCAGTCTCTCTACCTACTGTTTGCTTTCTCCATCTTTCTGCTCTACAGGCACACAGCTACTTGACCACTTGCCCCGTCATCGATATCGCGATGCACCGTCAAGACTCAACAAAGAACTGAACAAGAACTTCTTGAAGAAAAAAGTTTCCAGCTCCACGCGCTGCTTTGATCTATTTGGGTTTTACCTGCTTTGCCGTATGTTTTTATCATTATTCCCTCCTTTTTTCTAGTAATTCCACTTGTATTGGCAATTTCCTGTGTAAAATCGCATAAACGCGATTTTCGACAAAAATCGTCGCCATGATGGCCGTGTACCTACAAACAGCCGTGACACAAGTACTACAGACTACAGTGCTGGCAACTGCAATCCGCCCAGGGGGTAGGATTTCATTTACCAGCACTAGTACTACTACTACTACTAGTAGTACTAGTACTAGTAGTAGTAGTTAGCTAAATTTAATCTAGTGCTCGTCAAGCAGGCAAGAACTCATCATGGCTGATATCACCACTAATGGCGAGAAGGAGAACGACCAACTCAGCTGGCATGGCGAAGTGAATGTGGACAATTATACAGAAATGGTGGAGCGGTACGCGCTGTATCGGACACAGCGCCTCAACGTCTTGAAACTGGTCGTGGAAATCCTGGAAAAGGAAGGTATCAACTACTGGTTGGACTGTGGCTCGTTGTTGGGTGCGTATCGCAATGGCAAGATGATACCGCATGACAGCGATACAGACGTGTCGATACTGGGTGACGAAGAGTTTGACAGGGCCAGAAAGGCCCTGCGCCAGAATCTATCCGACGTCTACAGCATGGACGACGGAACGTCCTACGCGGAAAAAATAATGATCAGTCAAGACTCGTGCGGGACATGTAAGTTCTCGGACGATGTTGAGTGCTCCAATGTAACTGGAGACGTTAACAAATACATCCTGCGACAGGACGGTACTCTTCAGCAGCTCTACTATAAATTCAATCTAGGTGAGCGACGCTATCAGCACGATTGGGTCTTTCCATTGGGGAAGATGCAGTTCGAAGGGCTGACGCTGCCCTGCCCCAACAACGTGAAAGCCTACTTGGAGGAGATGTACGGCTACCTCGGAACGGACTTCAAGTACGATCCGGTGTCGACACGTTTTGTGAAACGCGATTGAACTCCTACCCCAGGCTGCCCCCAACGTCTCCAAGCAGTCCTATACAAAAGCCAACGAGAAGCAAGTGTGTGAAGGAACCTCGGAGACGGAGGCCACCACATGCACTACCCAGTTTGCTGTGACCCAGTAAGATCATCGTCGTACATGACTGTGTTTCTTTTACTACACATTTGCCTCACCCGTATACATGGTATAGTAGTAGTAGTAGCAGCAGTAGCAGTAGTAGCATAATTTTATTATGGTATAGTAGTAGTAGTAGCAGCAGTAGCAGTAGTAGCATAATTTTATTATTTTACCGTATATCTACAATCATGTACATGTATAGCTCTAGATAGTGCACTGTGATGTGCCAGTAGGTACATTTACATGGCACATACCGTATATTCTCTATTATAAGCACAAGTCTCTAATACTAGCACACTGTGAGCACCTTTTGTCTTTGAAGCATTATAAGCACCGTCTCTATTATTAGCACGGTCTTGGTGGAAATCAATGCTGCATGCATGATATCTAGCGTGTATTTCTTCTTGCTCTGTGTGGATGTATTGGTTGAGAAAATTAAAGCACGGTCTCCAATATAAGCACGGGGTAGACTAGAGGGGTGTTGAAAATATATAAACACGGCGCTTGTAATAGAGAATATACGGGTGGCTGGTTCTGTTTCCCAACACAAGTGTACTAAAGCAGTAAGTGTTGTAACGCGGACAAGTCAACTAACTTTACTTTTGATAATAGTGTCATTATGTCAATGCATTGTTGTCATGTTGAACTGGCATGCGACTACAAAAAAGTACATTTAAAGGTACTAGTAATTCACAAGGATTAGAACTACTGCAACAACAGTTTGCAGACAGCTATGTACATCGTAGGCGAGTGGATTGCTGTAATGGCTTCAAGTCACGGTGTGGGATGGCGTGGTGCACTGGTGCGGCTATTACATGTACATGTATGCCTCCTAGTCTCGCCTTACCTTTTCTTGATGCTCCTCAACTACAATGTACACCGGTGGCAACTGAAATCTGACCCCCTGAGCGGTGCGTTCACATTCTGGGGGTCTCTATTCCGTACTATTACAATCCCGCGCTGCGTCTTTGCGATGTGAACGCACCGCTCAGGGGTCGCATTTCAGTTGCCAGCACTGTCATGTTGACAGAGTGAGCTGGCAGGCTTTCTTTTGCTCTCTGGTGCCCAGAGCCTGCACAGGTCCTTTTGCAAACTAGCACTGTAGCCTCAGTGAGCACTGCACTGGAAACTGCCAGAGGGCTAGGGACAAAGCGTACTAGTATTCAACCACAGGTCGCACATACATGTATCCGGTGTAAAACCGGCCGGCAACTGTGCAGGCTTATAATTATTACCGCCGCTTGGGAATGTGGATCAGCAGAACCACAACTGGTTACTTGCACAAGTTATCTGCGCTCTCTGTCCCTGCTCGCTGTGTTTATCGCAAGACTAAGAGCACTCTGATGTTCTGTCGTCCATCACTAATAATTATTAGACTTCACTGTGATCCGTCCGGCCAGTATTAAACCTGAGCTTTTCTGACGAGATCTAACAAGGTGGAAAAAGCTACAAAAGCTAGGTGTCCGGAGATTGAGTACTGTATGCTATACAATGTACTGGTAGTAACTCTGAAAGGTCCGGTAATTGCATAATAATTATTGCTATGCTACAATAAGCACAGGTACACAAGCAACCCAAGCGCATGCGCCTACATGTACATGTACATGTACAGTCAACTTGGCTAATAACGACTGCGGATATAACGACAATTCGCGAATAACGACAGAATTTCCATACCCAGAGCAAAGTCCCATCCCACTGTAATATATATGTAATGAGACTTCGGGTATAAGGACACCTGTTTGATGCCCCGCCGAGTGTCGTTATAAGCGAAGTTGACTGCATGTGTGAGACAAAACAACCCCCCATGGCCATGGGCCAAGCAAGATAAACCCCAAAACTCACTCATCAGCGCATGGGCCTTTAATTTACCGTATTATCTCTAATATAAGCACAGTCTCCAATAATAGCACGTCTCCAATAATAGAACACCTTGGGGCGGCATTCAAAAAATAAAGTGCTCAGTCTCCATTATAAGCACACTGTGTAAATTCATTATCTGTACCGGCGAAAAAAACCTGAAATGTGTGTGTCATACATGAATTTGGCATGGCAACATGCCTCTGAAATGAGGTTGAAATAATAATGGAACAGTCTCCAATAAAGGAACGTCTCCATTAATAGCACGGGTCGGAGGTACATTGAAAAAATAAAGGACCGTGCTTATATTAGAGATAATACGGTATGTGGCGGCACTACTACGGTACATACATGTATGTACATGTAGATTTACACGTGCACGGGATACATGTACTGTAAGTCTTTCTGCATGCATGCTGTGTGCATGCTGTGTGCATGCTGTGTGCATGCTGTGTGCTTGGAACTACATGTACATGTACATACATTAAGGTAGCAGCCTGGTCGTAAATTTCATTATGGCATTCAATTGACCGTAACTTTGGTGTCTCTCAATGGATTTGAGTGAATTTTTCACCACACCCTCGTGCCACTATGCTGGCCCTTTGGACATGATTTAAAAGTTCTTGCGCCTCACACTCACAGTCAGGCTTTCCAGGCCGGAAAAACTCAAAATCCCGGCATAGTGCCACGGTGTGCGAGCCACCCAGGAGCCAAAAAATGCATTTACAATTTTTTCACATTTTCTTGTCCATTCTGTCCGTGCGCGGGATCTAAACCTTAAAAAAGTCCAGAAGCAGCCATGGGTGGTGGGATAGGGCCCTTCAACGTGGCCCTGGAATCTGTCACAACGGCAGGAGTGGGCGTTCTCTCACACACTCCCACAGACCCAAGTCAAATTTTAAATTTTTTTAGGTTTAGGGCGTGCTACGAGGTCGTACCTTTGATACAACATCCAGTGCTGGGACCTCCACAGCAAGCCATTTCCACAGCGCTTCAAACCGAATCCAGGATACCCTCAAGAATAGGGTCCAGCGGATAATGCCGGCATTATATTCGGCATTAGGAGACTATCCGAGCATCGGAGCATTATGGAGCATTAGAAAGGAACAAGACGAGCATTATGTGAGGTTTGAGCGACATAAAGAGATTCGTTGTCAATAATGTCGGGAAATCTCAGGTTTTGGCAACAATCGGCTATAGCCACGAGGTGCAACGCCATATTGTACCGGCACATGACTTTGTGATTGTGTACACACGTAACACCTAAAGTTTAGCACTAATGCTACATTTGCTTGACTACATAATGCCATTGCTACATTGAAGTCTTTATGTAGCAATGTACAATGTTGTAGTCAGGTAAATGTACAGGTGATGTCGCATGCCCAACGTTGCAACTGAGGCTGTTACACGAAACCCGTAACGATGATTTACGAGAAGTTTTTTTTTAGAAATCATGGAGAGCCATGGAGGAGACTTGACGTAGATCTACGCGAAGCGAGTATCAAACAGACGAAGAGGAGTTTTCCTGTTATGCCATAGGCTTTGGCCATAGCATCTCTAGCAGGGAGTCGTATATCTCCAGCGATACTGAACACTGATCCATTGATACATTTGGACCTGGATGATGGAGCGGCTATACCGTAAACAGAAAGAGCATGTTCCAAATGACTGCCTTTGCCGAGTCCAGCTCAGCAGGCTCGAAAAGAACTACTAACTGTAGAATTTCTCATGGGAAGCACGTACAGTTTGTCGTAGATGCTTGTAATGCAAGGCCTACAGTCAAATGCTATCAGAAAGAAGAGCATTGTGGTCAACCATTTGTCTCCGCGCAACCTCAGGAGAAGAAGACAGCGCAGGCAGAGGATGTAGAGCGGCAAAATAACGTCTGACCACATGTTTTCTGGATTTCCGCAAATGGGAGGGATCTCGATCTGAGATCGTCTCTCAGGAACTGGCTTCAAGTGAGCTGTTTCAGACGAAGACAATATTCACAGAGTGGAAGCAGTCACAGCTTGTCTGCAGGCAAGAATACTATTTGCTAAGATAAACTTCATCTCAGTGATCACCTGTAATAATGGTTTCACCTCTCACTACATGGATACGTAAGGGAAAAGATTTGATACTCCCACTATTCAGCCACAGCCCTGCATCAAAGTTGCAATGGAGAGCTGCCAATGGAGACGCGATCCGTCAACTTATAGTGCTAAGAAGTAATGGAGCTCGTAAGAGATTTTGCAGCAGCGTCAGAGGCAGATCGACTATAATGCATCCTTTCCTGGAAGTATGACAATGTGCAGCATTTCTTCCATTTTTGTTCCAAACCAAGAGCATTATAGCCCTTGCTGAAGCATTGTAATCAGCATCATAAGGTAGTTTTTGGAGCATTATGATTAGCATTATACGAACATTTTCGGAGCATTATCCGCTGGACTCTAACGGATGGTAGCGACGAGCAGCTCCTAGCACAGGCATTATCCGCTGGACCCTACCATCCGTGCGGCATTGATATGCTCTGCCTCCTACTCTGCCCCCCCCCCCCACCAAACACACATGTACCTGTAAGTTGTTGTCGTGCAGCTGGTGTGAAACGTTTGAGTATAGTATCATTACACTATAACCAGTTCGGTTCTGTTTCATGACCGTAAACATACACTGTACCACTAATAAATTGTGTACTAGCCTCCCGAAGTGCCTTTTCTGATACTGTTACTGTTACCATGGTTACGCTGACTTCTGCTTGCATACCAGTAAACATTGTGATTGTCTGATTGTGTACATAAGGCAGATTTTGTACATAAAACGTATCAAACTCTCATTTTCTGACTATTGTTCGGAGCAGAAAACCAAGCAGAATGTGGTGTTTGTTCGAGCAGAATGAAAAGCAGAATCCGCCTATTCTTCGAGCAGAATCCGCCGGACCCTAGTGTCAGGTCGCCGAACGTCTCAGTACTCCTTGTCAGTTTTGTGCCATTTTGTCGCACTCGCTGACTGTATAAGATCTGGTTACGTTGGTGGACAGTTAGTCATAACTCTTAACATTTTGTCCTTCTTCTTTTCACAATAAATAAATAAAATAAATAACTATAGTCCTGTGATGCATGGGCTAGGCCTGTGCTGTCGAGCTGCAACCATTCACGTGAGCATGAGGGCGTTCATAATAATTATTTTTATATTAATATTCTTGTTTAGTTGCTTGCCAAAACTCTTTTCTTTTCCATGATCAGTTACGAATTAAATTTACACGCTCGTAGTCTGTATCTGTGCTGCATTATCGAGCCATGCAAAATGTTAGCAGCTTGTGATTGGACGAATAGTGTCTCACCTGCTATTTTCCTAGAGCCAAGGGCTTAGAGAATATTCTTGGAACTTCTCAGTGTTACACCTTGCCTAGTTTCTTTCTTGCGCCCGCATAACAATTACACTGTATAAAATCAGTATGCCATGTCAATTACAATATCAGTATCACCTTCTCTGACGAGCCTTTGATAGGCGAAACAGCCGTCAGAAGGAAATGTTTTACCCGTGACCCCTTCGTTGTTTGAAGTTATTGGTGTGAGTAATGGCTACCGAGGGTAGCAATGGTCGGCTTTAGAGCGCATGGAGGAGGAGAGTTAGTTGCTTGTATAATTCATGGATGTGTGAATTTAATAATGTTCAATGTTCAATGTACATGAACAGTGCCGGGTCTACACTGTACAATACTATGCACGTACAATGTTGGTTTTTTGGATGGCTTTTTTTTGTCAAATCGGGCCTCGGATTACGGACTGATGTGTAACGTTACGTTAAGTACAGTTTCTCAAGTCTGTGGACTCGTCCTGCTTCGCCAATGGGCACCGTATTGGTGGTGCGTCTCCGGAATATTATTTCGATGCTGTGTTCAAGAGCTGTCTGTCTCCTGCCAAACATGTTACAAACTATAATACCAAGGTGCGCCGCTCACGGTCGTCGGGAGCCTCAATGCATCAGAGCAGAGTCCGGGCTCGCCAACAGTAAACGATGAGAGCGTGCACACATGGCTGAAGCAAGAACCGGCACTGGAATTATCATTTGTCCGCCAAATTCTTCTATTTTTGACATGTGTGTAGTGTTATTTGATGTGTGGATTGAGTACCAGCTTTTTAACAGTCCTATTATTTTGCCTTGCATTACGAGTTACTCTGGAGCTGATTTTTCGGCTGCGGCTGTTTCTTGTTTTGTGGTTTTGTTGCTTGGTTCCACCTCAAACAAGTCTTATGTGTGTGATCAGCTCATCTTTCACACTGATATACACTTGTGGAGAAATACAGGGCAAGATAATGGTTTTATTTCAGTGTTTTGGTTGTACTGAAGGGTGGACTGTTTAAATCACCCCGAAACAGACATTAAAATACCGACCGGCATCTAGAAACTGGTGAATGTAAGGCACTTCCCACCATAGTATCAGCCTGAAACTTTGGGATTTGAAAAACAGATAGTTGTAGGTGACCTTCATGCAAAAAAACAGTTTTTGCCAGACTGCAGGTAGCATTCCATTTCTACCTTGTCCGCTCACACATGTACATGTACACCTGTACAGCTGTGGTAAGTAAGTAGTTGCTGTTCATCATACATGTATGTACAGGATACAAGACCGTGTGTGCATGCTGGCCTGGCTGATGTATGGCAAAACTGGGCTAGAAAAAGTAGTAAATAAACTGCCAAAAGGGGCACACATTAATTTAAGGATATCGATCTTTGCCAGCAAAAGGAACCTCAAGTTGAAAAGAGAACACCGCAAAGTAGTGTAAGAACACGAGAATTGGTATTGCGGCGTGGCCAACGGGAGATTGCCGAAGACCAGGAAGAATACGAATGACGCGTCAGTGCAGCATATACGCCGCGCCACCAGGCAACAGCAGCAGCAGTCAAGAACTAGCAACAGTAGGAGCTTCTTCAACCAGCAGGATAGACTCAAGACAATGCATTGACTGCTCAACGGGAAGATTATGATAACAGCTCATTCAAGCAGGCAGCCTGAAACTAACAGCCAAACGATCCAAAAGACGAATGTGACGTAATACAAACAGCTGCTCCAATGATAGCTCAGAGAGGCTTCCAAGTCAGGTACAACTTGAAGTAGAAACAAACAAGGGCATGCCACGAGTCCCGGGTACGCTTGAAAGATTAGAAAACGAACGGTCACAAGCTCGTCCCCGACGGGCTTTCCGGGCTGGTGGTGGGGCTTATCAGGTCTTCGCGAGAGACCATGCGGAAGAGCACCGACGGGTTGCTCTCGCCGTTCTTGTACTCGTCCAGCTTCTCGTCGCTGCTGCCAGCCCCCGTGCCCCCACCTGCTGTGATGTCAGCAGGCGCGCGTATGTGTATCCGGCCAATATCCAAAAGATTGGGCGTTGATCTGGCCTGTGCCAATCTGAAAAGCACACACACGAAAACACCATGCGATATTCAGCACGCAAACCAACGCCATGCTATATTCAAGCACGCAAACCAACGCCATGCTATATTCAGCACGTGAAAGCGAGTACTTGAGGTAACTGATAAGCTAAGCCTGGCACCATCTCCAAAATGGCACTGGGACCCATTCAGCTTGTATGTTTTGTTGAACTGTCAATCTATTTCCCTGCTGTGCGAGCTCTACTCGGACATTTGATGTTGTTATGATAGCAGTCATACTGTCTTGAGATATTCCTGTTTACATCTCCTTGAATTGATGCTCTAGTGTATTCCAAATAAGCCCGGAAGTGAGCAGTACCTTACAGGAGAATACAGTGAGCAATGCCAGACATGCTAAAGCTCACAGCCTCAATATACAACCAACAAGAAGGTGTCGTATGTGGGGTTTTTTTTCGAGCACCATCTTAAGGGTCACTTTGTTTTTGCTTTCTTACATGACACATAAGAAAAGCTACGGGCAATTGTCAGCTTTTCCGCCGCTGAAATAGTAGGTGCCTTTTTGGCGGCACTGTCAGCCAGGTTCACCTAATCATATGTACTACACACTTTCACCTTCCGACTGACTGTGAAGTGTAAAGGGTCATCAGGCGCGTGCGCTGGTGCCCTTCAAGGGGGGGGGGGGGTCGGGGGGCCTCCCGGGAAAAATTTCCAAAAATGAAGCAAAATCCTGCATTTTGAGCGAAAAGGGGGGGGGGGGGTCCGGGCACCCAAGAACCCATATAGGGCACGCGCCTGGTCATGTAAGAAATGATTCCCAGCACCAAGTCTGTTCTTCTAAGCGGCATGCCACTCACCGAGTGAACTCTGCGTCCAACTCCTCATCGGACACAGCCTAAGAAGAACAGACACAGTAGGCACAAGAAACATTGCTAAGACCCTTGTGCCACCATGTCCAATTATACATTTCCCACTGGGCCATACCCCGTACATATCCATAGTCATCATCATCGGCTATAACAGTGATTTACAAACACACTTGAAAGAAGGAGTCAAGAGCGTTTCTGCCGTCACTCTGACTTGAGTTCCACGGTTTTATCCCATCATCAGACCTGTTTCTGTTGTTGACAGTTGCTGTCTGATGATCGGTTAAAACCTTGAAGCTCAGAGTTACAGCCAAACGCTTTTTTTATTCCTTCTTTCGAGTATAACAGTGGTTTATTAATCTCGGATGGAGAGCCAAGGATTAAAATTAAAAAAGAGGACCACAAGTTTACAAGTTATCCGTTTTGTCCAACAGTAACGGCTATAAGCAGAATACTGTTGAGTCAAAAATGTGCAACAATTGGCACAAAAACTGACTGATGAGATCCTGACATTCAACGACCTGATGCTTAGCTGCATCACGGTTACTTCATACCTTAGAACCTTCCAAGTTGGAAGGCTGCTGGTTTGCGCATTCTAGACGTGATGCAGCTAAGCATCAGGTCGTTGAATGTCAGGATCTCAGTCAGTTTTTGTGCTAATTGTTGCACATTTTTGACTCAACAGTATTCTGCTTATAGCCATTACTGTTGGACAGAACGGATAACTTTGTAAACTTACGATCCTCTTTTTTAATATTTATTTAAAATGTATCTCATAGCGTGTGCAAGCAACGCTGATATGGGGAGCAACCCCAGAGATGAGGGCGATACCCACCCATGGCAAAAATGACAAAAAGAAAAATGGAACCAGGAGGAAAGCAAAGGCCAGCCGTGAGACATCCCTGCACACAGTACAGTGCATTCACACGCCCAGTTCTCGACGTACAACCTGAGTGGCCATTGCCATCGAAACTATTGAGTGGAACGATGCATCACGTGAATACTTTCATGTGATAGAAGCTTTGCAGCCGAGGCCAACGCCGCTCTCTTACACTTACGACATTTGAAAAATGCAAGTCCAAAGTCTTATTCAATGTGGACTCACTCACCCCATCGCTGCAGCTGCGTAATGTGTCTCCGTTCACAGTAGATATCATGGCCTCGCTGTGACCATTGCTGGTGGGTGCTGTGCCGACTCGTGTTGCTACTGGTTGCTGACGGCCTTCCAACACCAGATCTAAAGATCCTCGACCTGCGAATCAATCCATCGAATACAAGTCACTCTGCTTGAATTTACCATTAGATGAGGGTGGCAGTGTTCGAGATTAAAAGAAGAAGAGCACATTTAGCCTAAGTCGAGATCAACCGAGGCTGGGAAAATACAGTTGCATACCATAACGTGCTCGGTCTCTCATAAGTTCGTTTTGCTGCTGTGAAATGCTGGCTCGACGAAGAAGACAAACAGAGCAACAAAATTCCACACAGGGAAGGTTGTTACATTATACATAGCTGTCGAGTGCCCAGTTGCGTGCTCGCAGTTCAGCTAGGTGGGTGGCAACGCGCGCACACTACTCACTTGTGTTGTGGCCGTTCGACACTCGATTTCCAATGGCGCCGCCTTCGGAGCGCGTGCGGTGCCGTAAACTGGGGTGTCTTGTGGTTGAGTCCGCACCATTCTTCTGTCCAGCCTCATCCGCCTGCTGTTGCTCCTTTGTGCTCTACCAAATAAGACAAGACAGGAACAACACAAAAAATAATCACGGTTCGCGCGAGACTCTGCTGCAGGCCCAGTTTTCCGCATCCGCCGTGGGAATGCCATCACCCTCTAGGATCAAGGCGCAGATGCAGCTCCAAAGCGGTGGGAGGTGGGTAGCTCAGACCTACAACAAAGTGATCAAAGACCGAACTTCCCATTCACTGCATCCAGGTTTCCCTCGTGCCAGGCCACGAGCTCCCGTGTGCGACCCACAGTTCATCGAGACACGCATGAAACCAAGGCAAGTATCATCTTCAGGAAAGGACAAACGCTACACAGCTGATGCACCGCAGAAGCACAAACATCTGTCAATTTAAAAAAAAAAACGGTTGCTGGAATAATGATATCAAGGTCTTACTTAATGTAAGCAGACCAGGTAACTAGTATAACCCACTGGGCACTAAACACCCTCAGCCTAGAGGTTCACTTATGCTCTCACATAAAAACCATGTTACAAGGGAGGTCTGGATTCCGCTTCAAAAATTCAAAACATACGCATGAAATCTGGTTAGCACACTCACCTCCCACATCTCAAACGCGATGTTGAAGGCCTGCGCAACTGACAGCGTCACTGCCATTGCCTGCAGAAGATGGCAGCCGAAAAGCACGCAGTAGACAGGGAATATCAGAACGGTCCGAGCCGGAGACCGTGCACTTGTACAACATTGGATGAGTGCACACTGTGTCACAGTCGATCATAGTATAACCACATCAACTACGATGCACCTACTTTTACTGTGGAATCTTGTCTTGAGAGCCCACATGTATTCAGAGGTCAGTCTTCTAAGACCCAATAGACGACAACCGCCTTCAGACCTTTGCTGAAGGACGCGCAACTTATTCCGAAGTATCCCAGGCCTATGCTGAAAGACCACGGACCTCTGCTCAAAGACCCATTCTGAACCCCCCTTCCCCACCCACTGTCTAAAAATAATCAGATCTCAGTCCTCCGGGCATCATTCGGTGGTCAGGAAAGACAGGATCCACTTCACATGATCCAAATCTGTGACAGGAGAAGTCTTCGAGGAAATTCATCATGACAGCACCAACGGGCAGCTTGCGTGTAATCACGGGAACACTGCAGTCACGGATATCACCCTGGCCGGAGCGTTGATGCCACTGTCAACGTGTAGCCTCGCACCAGAGGTCGCTGACGCGACAGACGAAGTCATAACCCGTAGGCATATCCCCCGTGTGAAGAGATACTACTGCTGCCCACTTGCAGTTGCATCTCCTGAGGCAGATACAACACAGCCAGAGTATTTATTCATTCTTAAACCACACCATAACGCATCACGGGAATTGTCAGCAGGGTTTCCAGTGCGCTGGTCGACTGCCGATGTGTCAGAACCACTAACCTTAGATTTCTTGTTGCAGAGAAATGCGTAGCAAAGGATGTCCAGGGTCTTTGGACATTGCGCAATGAACGTGAAGATCTTGTCATTGTACGTGTCCACTGTACAGTAGGTAACTCTGTCAGCAAAGAGAGCAGAGAGGACAAAGAGAGCAAAGAGAGCAGAGAGAGCAAAGAGGACAAAGAGGACAAAGAGCGCACGTTTTTGCAACAGAGCTCAAAAGACGACGCAAGCCATGTTCGTTAGAAACATTGCACGAGTCTCTCCACAGCGGTTCAGTCACCCTTACACCCCCACACACATACACACAAGCATTCATGCACACATACACAGAGTACACAGATACGAACAGAGATAAATGTATACCCAAGCAACGAAGTTACTACATGTATATGTATATGTTTCTTTCATTCTTTTACTTGAATTTGTGTGTGTGTGTGTTTATGTGTGTGTGTGTGTGTGTGTCCATATACTTACTTATAGATAGGGTATTCCACAGTTCTTGCCTGTACAAGCACACAAAATATATCAACACACAAACTATTACTCAGACGGTGAGCCGAAGAAAACTGTGGGGCACGAGTCACGCATTAGGGTCCACCAACTAAACCAGATTTTGAACAGTTGTCCACGTTTGACTGTTCAAAATCTGGTTTAGTTGGTCGACTCTAATACACTTATCATTAATGACCTGTTCCTGCACACCAGAGAGTGTTTGCTGTGACGTGTGTTGTGTAATACTAATAGTTTGTAAACAAGGAAAACGGAGGGCACACGTTATGTATTAGTGGCTCGCCCGTGTCTGGTCCAGCTCGATCTCCTGGCGGCTGGAATCGTAACACCTCTGCCCAGAATGGCCCAGGCCAAGGATTTCACGATGGCTCGTGTGATCTCGGGTGCTTCGCTTGTGGAGATCCTTCCCACTTCCGCCGTGGCTGTCCCCAATCTCCACATGGCGGCCGCCAGTCACTTGTACTGGTTGTGATTGTAGTCCCTGTTGTCGTACAGTTGATGGGCGTTCTCCTACTTCTGTACTTCGAAGTACATACGACTGTGTGTCCTGTCACTCATGTTCAGTCGTCATCTCTCCGTCTGTCTATGTTGAGATTTGTCTCCAAGATACGACCTCTGGAATAACAAAATAGCCCATACTTCACCTCTTCAAAATCACAAGATTAAATTTTCGGTGCTGCACCTGCTGCACCAATTCCGACGCCCCAGTATGCACAACATTTCTTTCACCCGAGCACAACACACCCTGTGCCTCAACGAGTTGTATGAGCAGCGCTTACGTCCGAAGAGAGCGTCGACATGCTGATGCTCTTTGCAGAGACGCGCAGCGAGATCTTCTCCAGCTTCTCCTTTTGCTCTTTGGCCTGCAAGAGCGACACACAGGCATTGGTGACAGACATGTTTCAATGTGCATTGTAAACATCATCACAAACCTGCTAGCATGTATAGATCCGCGGAAAAAGTACTGGTGAATTGGCTCACCATCCGAGTCGAAAAAGGACTGGATATCTATCCGGGCGGCCGGTGAGTAAATGGTAAAAATGGTAAAAGCGGAGGGGGGGGGGGGGGGCAAAAGAAACAAGGAACTTCCTTTCGGTACCATTCAAAACGTGACAAAAATGTGCGCCGGTGAGTGAGATCCTGCTCTGTGCGTCTTCTGATGATTGCACAGTGTGTATGAAACTGCACGGCTACGTGAGAAGGCAGAACGGCTACGTGAGAAGGCAGAACGGTCTGTTTATATGGTGAAGTATAATTAAATCAAGGAAACAAATGCGGCCCGGAAAACAACACATGTTTCCTGGGTCCACTGATTTATACTGCATGCAATAGTCCTGTCTTGCACCCATTCCTAAAACAGCTTTAGCTACTCCCACGTCGTCATTTACCGATACGCAGATCTTCCGAACGGCTCGGTCCGTGCAGCCTTGGCCGGAGGTCTGATCAACTCCAACAGATCCGAGAAACTGCAACAGGCAACACGCACAAATCAAGTATTAGAGGCGGAATGTAGGCAATGCTGGCTTGACGCCCAAATACAAAATTGTCGACCATCAATATTTATGAAGCCTGTCTCTTTCCTCCATTATCAAAGAATTTTCAATCGATTTTTCAGCCTGGGGCTATTACTATGATTGAACGAGAGACTTCACCAATGTGGCAGAGGCGGATCCGTGATTCAGTTTAGAAGATTGAATTAAGTAGGTGTGAAATGTACCTTTACAAAGAATGATATACCGGCCATGACGGCGTCATTCTCATTCAACCAGTCCTCTCGTAACCCTACAATCAGAAAATGGGATATGCAAACCCACAAATACGTACCCACACACACACACACACACACACACACACACACACACACACACACACACACACACACACATACACACACACACACATACACACACACACATACAGACACAGGGTATGCACGCGCGTACACACACATACACACACGCACAAACATGGAGCAGAGGTGTCATTGTCAGTGAACAAGATACCCACACTTGGCAGTCAGTGCCAGTGACAAACTTCATACATTGAAAAAAATAAACATTTCTGCATTTTTATCTGGGAAGGATGACACCAGCTGATGAGTGATGGGATCCCTGGGCTGGCCTACACCAGTGGTTATCAACAGCTGCAGATAAAATCTCTTTTGAAATATCAGCCATTTCCGCAATTACCAAGGACAGAAAATGACATGATTGTCTTGGCCTACCCCCTGTGAATTCCTAGCTGTTTCCACAACAGGGGTCAGCATGCTTTAGTTGTCAGTAATTTGTTCACATGGTGGGGTTGCTGTGGAATCTCCGCAGGCGCTGATAAAGACTGCCCCTGATTGCCACAGGACAAGTGCGAGGGAAATTGATGAGAAAATACACAGTCCCAGATGATTTCTAGACTGCGATCATCTCCCAAAGGTCCTGTAGGCTGTACATACCATGATGCAAGTACAAAAATAATAATAGAACAAATTCAATTTTACATCTGAGAAAAACACACTGATTATAACTATTAGCACTGTGTTTGAAGACTTTTTTCTCAAGGATTGCATGTCTCTACGAGACATTCCTGATTCCTCCATAGCCAAGTAATAGTTCAAGCGCCCAGTCCATTTGGTGACAAGTGCACCCCGAAAGCCGCCGCTACATAGTCCTGCCACTATTATTATTACGCTAATCAAACACTCCGTGCGTCATGCTCTCAGGATGGCAGACTGCAAAACGGGAAAAATGCAACCCACTCCTACAGGCCCAGTCCAGCGACAAGAGCGCCGCTCATCGCCGCACAGCTTGACACCCGACGACAATTTACAATGCAAAACGCGGCGTCCTTCCAAACATTCCGTTTTTCTCAGCAAGCAGGATCGGACTCGGTCACCCACAAACTGTAAAATGGGTAAAAGACTGACAACACCGTTTCAACACCAGCTGAGCGGCATCTAGCACTCCATAGAGATACACGCGAACTGTCATGCCATGTAAAGGCGGAAAAAGCGAAGCCAGTACCCGGAGGTCACGTAACGTCGTTAGTCACAATGTACTTTCTTGTTGCCACCCACCTCCACCTCCATACCAAGAATCCAAAATAATCTGCAAGTGCAAGAGGAGCCTAGCTAGCCGCGGAAGAAATATTGGAAAAGCAGGCATTGTGTTCCACTGGGCGAGTCGAGTAAAGTCAAATGTTGGTTTCCTACTCCAACACAGACAGTCAAAATACTACCAGAGTACAACCTGTTTGTGTAATATCACATTTCATTCAAACAGCTGATCCGCCGAAGGTTACACACCCCATAATCATGATAATCGAAAAAGAAAAGCGCTGTCAGATCAGATGAGTAAAACGAAATCACTGCAAAGTTCAATCATGATTGTACGGTAAAACCTGGGCAAGAATGGGAACTGAGCAAATCAATCAATCACAAAAATGTTTCAAACTTACTTTCCATTCGCGTCGATGAAGTCGATCCGCTTATTTTTCGACGAACCGCTGCTGGACTGTTTCGCAGGGCCTTGACCGCCGCCTTACAAGCATCCATTTCCAGGCAGTGTGCACAACGGTATCTTCTCCTCGTGAACAGAAGCTTTCAAATTGAACACCGACGCTCAGTCCTCTTGGAAAGAACAACCACCAATTCCAGGGGACAACTGGACTGATTTTATGGACTGAGGCGCGCGTTTTCTCCCTGTGCAGCTTTGTGTCTGCTCCTGAGCTAGTGACAGCCTCTACAGGCCTGGCGTTCTCCTCACACTTGCTGGATGGATGGCCAGAACAGAGTAACAATAGGCTCAGCGACACCCGCTAGGTAAGGACTGCACTTCACTCGAGGCAAGTGCCGCGAAATATCTGACGTGTAGACGAGTATAGACCGACGATTGAACGCTCCTCTAGCCTCTCTCTCTCTCTCTCTCTCTCTCTCAGTCTCTCTCTCGCTCTCTAGTTAAATTGTAGATGTCTCCCTAGCTCGGAGCACGTGGGGAACGCGGTGGAGGTCGGTAAAGTGCTACCGACACCGTGTGCCCCACAAATCCTGTAAGCGCTCAGCAACAAGGTCGAGTGAGTACACGATTCCGAGCCGATTGGCGAACGTTTCGACACAAGTCACAAGCGCTCTGCCGGGTCAAACGAGCTAACAGTACCAGTTCTGGTGATTGCTGTTCGTAGCAGGGTCAAATCAGGTGCGTGAATCTGCCGCACGTCACGCGAATGCAAATGTTGAGCGGAATCCGCGGAAATGCGCTGCTGCGGTGTGTCACAACTCATGTAGCTACCGGCTCAAGCAGAGGAAGAGGAGCAACCCGGTCTAACCAGAGACAGCTGGGACAGCAACAACCTTCTCCGGAACTGCTCTCACACTGCTACAGACACGTGCCGCGTGCACTTCAACTATTACTTAGTATTAGTAAGTTCCAGCACTCACACTCACAGTCACACTTCAAGTAATAGTTAGTTAGGCCTTGGCTTAGGCAGTTAGGGCTAGGGTACCGGTATACCGGGTAATAACAGAAACTAATATTCTCTGAGAGCCCAGCATGCACTCGCGCAGTAAAGATAATTTCGTGCAAATGAGTGCGAGCTGCATAAAATTCAACTGACAATCATCAATAATTCAAGCAAGTATTTACGGCCATCGATGTGGTTCCCGACGCGCCACCAGCATGAAACTTTGAAAGTCAGCCGTGACCGATGAAGTCCCAGTCAAGTGCGAGGTCGTGCGAAAATAGCAGAACCGTCCAAGCGTAGCCTGCGGTAGACGCGATCACCTGTGTTTCGTAAAGCACGATCGAGTCGATCTGATCGGTCTTGCTGCCCTCTTCCTGGACCTCCTTTCATGGCAGTATCAGGCGGCCTTGGCGCACTTTGCCACTGGCACACAGTCATGTTGGGGGAAATAGGGCTTGAAAGTGCTACGTCACTCCATAGCAATGGCATAGCAACAATTTGAAAAATTCGAAAACTGGATCCACCTGGATCCAGTTTTTGTATGGATCCAAGCACATTTCAAGCGGTCTCACTCACAGCAAGGTGATGTTGCCAGTGAAACTGACTGATTTGGCTAGTGGGGGCGGGGTGACAACTGGTGGCGAAGTAAAAGTTGCACCTGCATACGACATGAGTGGGTTGCTATGCACCCACATACTGAGGCAATAGCAAAGTCACACCTTAGTGGATCCAAAATAGAAATCTGATGTCAATTTACTACTCCCAGGCCGTTTTTGACGTCATCACTTTCAAGCCCTATTCCCTGTAAATAACTCACCCAGCCGGGGAGGTACTTGCACATGAAAGATCGATTGTCACTGCACTGAGTGCACGTAGATCTGTGGGCAGCGTGCGCATTCGCATACATGTACTAGTATTGACTGTTCCGTGCTTTCGTGTGGTTTTCGAGTAGGAGTTTATACTCGATGCTCACATCAACTATTGACAAGTAGAAGCTGACAATGAAAACCGTGTTGAAAACGTGCCCATCAACAACAATCTATCAAAATAATGGAAAAGGTGAAACAAGCTAAACACTTCAAGAAAGTACCAGTGTATAGACATGTAGTGATGTACACACACAGTGAAGAAGCTATTCTGCAACGATACGTAACCGTGTGAGAGTTACAATGTCATGTAAAATTGTAAGCTGGTGAAAGCTGAGCCTGAAAAGCGAAGCCAAGGCAACAGCATACGAGCAGGACGCTGTGCACATGGTGGCGAGGACCAGTCCTCATAATAACAAACAAGAGATGATTCAGTGATTGACGAATAAGGCTGACAACTACCTTGATAATAATTGTCATTGACAGGGGCATGTCAGGTCCGACCACGGAATCCGACGCCCCCATCCACCTGCTGCAGCGAGTGCAGCGACGTTTCAATGAGCTTCGAAGCGAACTACAGAAAACAAGCATGCATGATGACATGCACGTGTACAGATGTCTGCATTGCCCGTCGCGTCTGCATGCTTCGGCTCACGAACTCACGAACTGCCGGCACCGCTAGTGTAATGACTGAATTATGTACAATGACAGTTATACAGGTCGTCATGACACCTAACAGTACACTCCAAACCTCGAAGTGACAAACATTTCTGGTGAAGTCGTGCCTTGCCCGCTACGATACTACACTCTACGTGACTGTATTACTATTCACATTCCTGTCGAGACCGAATTTTACTGTAGGGCGGTGTACAAGATGATGGAACAACTCCAGGTCCCGATGCAGATGGCCGAACACACGAGCCTTTCAGCACTTTCTCGGCACAGAATCGTGCAGCAATGACTATGCCCACCCGACCGCGTCAGGCACATATCAATATTGTATGAATAAAAATGTGACAAAGAAAACCTGGCGCAGATGGACCCAGTGAAGTCAGCACTGCCAAATACGGTTCGAATCAATGAACGAAGCAGATGAATGCGCGGTGTGAAGGGGGGGGGGGGGGGGGGTAACGGTTGTACAGACAGTGACAGATCTACCTGAAAAACAGAGAAATCATGGCGCTACTACACGTTCCTGGTGATCTCAATTTCTTTAGGAACAGACAAACAGAACTAACATAATCATTGATAGCTCTCTCCCACGCACTACAGTCTACACACGTACACATGAGTCTGATGGGAGTACGCCCCTCATCTGTGATGATTTAGGTGGAGAAATGAATGACTAGTTTCCAACAATTATTCGTATATGTAGCCAAACTTGGCCTGATTTCGGTCAGCAGATTTTATAATTATAAAAAAAGCACGAGACTGGTTGCATGGGTGTTGTCATTGTCAACAACAACGATCCTTCACACCTTCAGTCGCGCCGTATCACGATTGTTGCGATTGCCAGCGAGAAATAAAATGGGCCCCCAGAGTAACTGTGATTTGCTGAGCTGATGAAGTGATGATACAAGACAAGATACTAGTACTATAGACTGTGTAGTGTCAAAGAACACACTGAAAGAAGTTATGCACGAGAACCCAATTCCCAATGATCGCCATAGAAGTTTCGGGCTACATGTACATGGTCATTGTATACATTACAACGTATATATACATGTACATGTACTTGCAATTCGAAATCAGACACCTTTGGATCAGTTCAACCTACCAAATGTACTGCTGGGATTTCGTGGGTGCTAAAAAACATTGGCTTTCTTGGCTGCTTCCCCCAGGGACTTGTGTGAGAGAATTATTTAGGTCTGTGTTGACTAGCGGATTTATTTACACAGCGCTTTTAAAGACACATTCCTGTGGAAACGTCTGTAAATGCTACAGTACAGTCATACCACTACATGCCGATGACATTCACATGGCATACATTCAGGTACGGTGCGCGTAAACTGGGTATAGTACACGATCTGCAAGCAAGGACAGCTGTTACTATGGTTACATGTATGGTATGGCATAGAACATTCGTTGCTACTCGGGAATAATATGAATCACAGTAGTTCAAACCGGAAAAAAAAGACATAGTATAGTAATATTATTTATTCATATTTCTCTAGGGCAGTCCCCACAGACCTATGGTCTCCTTACGGGGTACCCTAGCCAATCTAGGGGACATTGAAACCGGTATGAAGTTCAGCATACTCTTTACAGCAAAGAAATGCTCCAGACATTGTCAAAACTCAGTGTACAAGGGTATGTACGATTGGCAAGATCCGGATCTAGATCAACCGGATCCACTGGATTCGCACCCTTTCAATTGGTTGAATCCGGGTTCGGATCCGACGGATTTGGATCTGGCCAACCCAGGGTTTACTGGATCCGACAGTTTTGCAAATCAACCTTTCTTGGCACGACCATTACACATTAATTCGTTGGATTGGACCTGGGAGGATCTGAATGATCCGGGCAATCGATCGGGAATCCGGATTTGAGAGATCGAACATAATCCAAGTAACACTGTAACAGTTCGACCTTACAAATGCAAACCTCGGGTATAAGACCAATTTGAGAAGAAGAAGACTATCTGAGACCTAGTAAACATTTGACTGCATACATTAAATTTGTGACAAAACAACAACAACAACAACAACAACAACAACAACAACAACAACAACAACAACAACAACACCGTTCTCATGCTAAAACAGGAGTTTTTATTGGCAAGTTTGGCTTGACTGAATCATAGTGTATGTAGTTGTAAGATGAAGCCATCAAGATTTTGCTGTCCAAAATCTGGCCATGATGGTTGACTCAACACTGGGCTTCAACACTGACACAGAAAAATACAGGCGAAACCGTATTGCCAAAAGTCTGCAAAGCTGCCATTGGCTTCAGACACTAGATTAAAAGGCAAATGTGTACACAGAAGAGGAAGCATTTTGCCAGCGTCCCCAAAGGGACTGCGAAAAAAACTGCTCCAGGATAAATTTGGGGATCTGATAGCGAAGCTGGAAGACAAAGTGGTCGGCACTGATAATGCTATCAACATAGTTTGTATCCAGCTGCTCTGATCATCTTGGTATTAATGTCACACTGCGTATGGCATCATTCACTGACCTCTCACATCATCATCATCACCAGCAATGTGCTGAATGAGTGGTCGGAGGGGGTGAGGAGCACAGATCAGAAGGGCATGACGCTTTCACTGAGGGTAGATCCGCAGCACCCCTGATCACCACACCACCCAACTGGCATGAGGAGTAGGTGGGAACTCAACTCCAGGCGACACCATCATTTGCTGACAGCACAGGATTGGAGCATTACCTCCAGCAACAACGTACTTGTGTGACTTAGCCACAAGAACCGTCAGCCCAGGTCATATGCCACTGTATGTCCCAATACGTCAACTGACCAGGGTCACAGCACACGTCAGAAATCACACACACACACACACTTCCAAATCTACCTGCTGCCCTCACCGCGGAAAGAAACGCGGAATAGAATCTGTTGTATCTCCCATGGTGCTAGCCGGTGGCTGCAGGAAGGGAACGTGAAATGAAATCTTGCTGGAGAGCTAATCCGTGTGGAGAACGTTCCGATATCGTTCAGGATTCTTCGCAACGTAATGCTCCAGGTACGAACAGCTAAGCGTAACCTTGACATTGTCTGCGAGCGCTGCGTCCAGAGCAACCTGCAAATACAGAAATAGAGAGAAAGATAACTTACTGCCGTGGATATAGATAGACAGATACCCAGTCTGCGGACAGAACTGTTTCGTCCTTTGTGGACTCATCAGCCCAGCGCAGATAGATAGATGGATGGATGGATGGATGGATGGATGGATGGATGGATAGATAGATCTACTAGTAGAAGTAGATAGATAAATAGATAAATACAGTTAGACCTCGCTTAACCGCACACATCCGTTTCCCACAAAAATATCCGGATAGGCGAGGGAACCGGATAATCGAACACACATACTGTATGTATGCATGACATATGCTGTAAATCGGTAACCAACGATTTTCGTCCGGATGGCGAGGGATCCGGATAAAGGAGGACCGGATAAGCGATGTCTGACTGTAGATAGATAGATAGAATGATAGATACATGTAGATAGAGATACAGTTGGGGATGGGATGGAGTGGGGGGCACCCGGATGTAGGATGTGTGGATGTCTTATAAAGACACAGGCTTTCATGACTAGGCCTCAGCGGCTAATGCTAGTTTTTTTGGGCAAAAATGCTTTTGGCAATGCTAGTTATTTTGGTTGCTAATGCTAGGTTGAGTGCTCGTTTGCAGCATTAATGCTAGTTTCAGCACCAATAAAAAGGAAAGAAAATGGTGTACAGAAATACTTTTTCGGATGGTCTTGTGTCTAATTTCATTGTAGACACGATCAGATGAAACAGGGCACCATGGTAAATTAAAGATAGAAATGTGATACTAGTAGTCGATACACGGTGGACAATGTCTGGCAACTATCTTCGTGTCCCATTACAGCTTGGGAACTCACAGCTCATGGCCGAGCCGACCGCGGTTGTACTGGAGCATGAGCTCCACTTCCAGGTGGTCTGTCAGTGTTGAGGCTTGCTAAGGGTGCACCCTTTGGGGTTTTCTTGAAATAAACTTTTTTGAATTTTTCCACTCGACCATGCTGAAATACGGCCAAAGTCATACCTGCGCAGGAAAGCTCGCCCCATCCGCGACGTCTCCTCAGCAATTTCTACTCCAACACTACTCCCAAGGCCGCAGAACAAAGTGTAGTGTTGACTCTGACAAGGAAAAGCAGCGGTGATCACTTGTCACTCCAAACGACAAGCTTCTCCTTGCGCCACCAATAATTTTTTGTGCGACTGTTGATGCAAAAGTGACTGAAGGCCTGAGCGCAGTTTTTGAATCTTATTGCAAGATGCACGGTGAAATCACGTGCCTTGTGACGCAAGAATGCCAAGTCGCGTGGATCACGGCATGTGTGTAGCGTAGGTTTGGCGCTTCCAAATAGGCACCCTTAGCATTGAGACGATAACGCTAGCGGTAACGGTATTTTGACTGTGGCCGGACCAAGAGTACCCATTTTGTTACTGTATGGCATATATGTACCCTTGAATCCTGTTGTGCACTTGCTGTGTGCCAGAAGAGGCCCAGACCCCATAATTGGTGCAAACATTACCATATGGGTCATTGCAGCGTATGCCTTGGAAAGGTTTTTAGCCCCCAGGCCCCTTTTAATGCTTTTTACCCCATAAAACCTGCTTGCAATGCTAGAGCAATGCTAGTTTCCAAAAAAGGCCTTTAATGCTACTTTTAATGCTAGCATTAGCCGCTGAGGCCTATTCATGACCATACACATTTCAAATTACTTCCATCTGCATTTCGTCGCACTCACAGAGATTTTCAAGTCGTGCCATCCGTCTGAGAACGTACGGAAATCTATTCTGTCGTGCTGGAGAAGAAGTCCCACTTCTCCGCAAAGTTTTCTTGGCCATTTCTTGTCACTCCACTGCTTCGAACAAGATGTGCCCGCAAGGTACAACCGAGCTGGAGTTTGGGTATTCTCCACATGGAAGCTTTACTATTTCCTCGTTCCCTTTTCGATGGACTGGCACATATGCGTATGGCCAGTGGTTTTGTTGGTGTGTGTGTGTGTGTGCGCGCGTGCGTGTATGTGTATGCGTGTGTGTGTGTGTATGTGTGTGTATGTGTGTGTGTGCGTGAGTGTGTGTGTGCCAGCTAGTTCGGTTGGTGGGTACACTTATGCCAGATAGTGTTGGGTCTGTTGCTAACGGGCTCGGCTGCTTGAAGGTGTAATTTGTACCTGCCACCTTTGTTGGTTTCAGGATTCATATACTCTCTATTTGAAGTATACATACCTGTTGATCATAAACTGCATCTGGTTAGATTAAATCTTGCGTAATCAATGGTGCTAGTGAAGCTTATATCAGATCCACTCTGATTTAGCCATCCACACGAGTAGCAAGTTCAGGGGGTGTCGGCCGTTGGGCGGTTCAATAGCCAATTGAGTCACTTTTCCAAGATTCCTTTTGAGTCTCTCTCCCCTCTCCCGGGGAGACCCACCTGACCAGTTTTGGCCGGGAGCAAATACAAGTGTGTGTGTGTGTGCGCGTGTGTGTGTGTGTGTGTGTTTGTGTGTGTCCCATATGGTGCAGTTGTATGTGCAGCGATTTCCAATCGATAGGTTGCGGGTTCGATTCCCGACGATTATGGTCACACACGTCTTTCTTCTCTTTCTCAGACTCCTCCTGACTTTTCTTTCATTCTCCTGGGTGGTTACCAACAGCCAGTGCATGCCGGAGTACGTGGTGTGATGTGTGTGCGGGGAAAAAAAAGAAAAAGACCAAAAAATTGGGATTCACTGGCCAGAAAAAGCCACTTCATAGCTGTGTGGAGTACACCAGGCTGAATAGTGGCGGCCAATTCTTCAGCCTTGCAAGCTGTTGAATGGTGCAATCCCAGCACAAGTTGCTATGGCTTCTGCTGTAGCATCGCTATCATCGCCTCCGGCGATGGGCGTCCAATGGTCCAATGGCGTGTGTGTGTATGTATGTATGTATGTATGTATGTATGTATGTATGTATGTATGTATGTATGTATGTATGTATGTATGTATGTACATAGCAGACTCAGCGGAGGACGTTCAGGTTGGTTGTAACTCTGAGTTTCATGCCGCTAGGCAATCATCAGACAACTGATACTCGGGTCTACCCAACAGTATGCTTATAAACACATAGGGCCACACGCATAAACAAATTTAGCGCTAAATCTGGTGTGAGGTATGGGGAGAAAGCTGGCGCGGGCCAAGGCGCGACAGTGGAAGTGCCAGGAGGGTGGCGGGCAACAGGCAGGTGTGAGCATGAAAGCGCGGAAAGAGGCGATGGGGAGGCAGTGTACAGCAGATGTGTGGGGGGGGGGTGCCAGGAGGGTGGCGGGCAATGGCCCAGTGAGATCACTGCAAGTAGGGAGTCGTTTGGTGACGGGCAGGCGTGAGCAGAGTGGCATCGCCAACAACAGGCCAAGGGATTGTGTTATTAATAATAATGGGTGCTCAGGCAAAGTGCAGTACAGTACTTGGTCAGTTCATGTGATAGGTGTGAAATTTGCGAGGCGGAACTTATTCTCATGCCTGCATTTCGAGACCATCTCAGACCGCTTGTTGAGTAGGAGCTTCTTGGGTGTAGTCAGGATGTGGAATTTTTCCGCGGTACAAAGATTGCATTTTTTTGACTCACATCTGTATGATCGGCTCTTCTCGCGCACCTTCCATGTGATGGTCAACGGCTTTCCCTCGCTCTTCAGCTCCCATACGTGTTTTGCGAGCTCAGTGCTGTTTTTGTATTTTTCATGACGCATGGAGGTCAGGTGGTTGGCGTGACGGGCTTTGAAAGGTGTCTCTGATAGGCCGATGTAAATCTTGCTGGTAGATTCTGCAGTGGCCTCATACACAATCTCCTTCGTCTGGCACTCTCCGCGCAGCGGGCAGGATTCCTTAATTCTGCAGTTGCATGCCTTGGTTTGATCTGGCTCTCGCAGGTTGCTCTTGTTGTGGCTGCTGATGACCGCTCCCATGTTGGGCATACAACTGTAGCTCACTTTCAGAGTGTTACGGTTAAAAATCTTCCCGAGCTTGGATGTTTTCGGGAAGTGCCTGGAGACAAGGCTCAGGAACCTACCAGCGACGTTTGTGCTAACGTTTTTGGAGTAGGGAGGGTTGAACCATATGACCTTCCGGCTGCGGTTCTTCCTGCCCCTGTGCTCATGTTCCTCGGGCTGAAAGCTCAGCACTTCGGTGTATCCACTGGCCTTTAATGCGGTCTGGTACACGGGGGCTGCATGGTTGAATGCCTCCGCGTCGCTCGATATAGCGGAAAGGCGCTTGTTGACAGCAGCAGGGATGTTGTTGGTGATCCCAGGCGGGTGGTTGGACTGCTTGCTGACGTAGAGCGGGTTGTCATTGGGCTTTCGGAAGGGTTGAAATTTCCCGGTGTCCAGGTTCATGGTGACATCCAGGAAATCCACCACCTTCAAGTTCGCTTCGATGGTAATTTTTAGGTCGAAGCGCTTGAATATTTCCGTCAGCTTTTTTCTGAGGCGGTCTGCAGCCTGTGGGCTGGTGTCCTTGAGGGCGGCCAGTCCATCGTCTCGGTAGAGGCCGATAGCGGATCTACCGACGAGGCTTGAGAGCTGGTTGAGAAGAAAGGCTCCCACAAGTTCGCACGTCTCGGCGCCATCGTAACTTCCCATTGTTACGTCAAACATGTCGCCCTTGTCCTTCATCCAGGGGCGGCCATCGTGGAATAGGAGCGATTTCCGGGCGTGAAAGATGATGTCCATTTCACGCGGCTCGATCGTGATGAATTGCTCCGCGAACGATAAGGCCTGACGGAGGAGCTGCTCACCAATTGACGGGTAGAATTCTACCACGTCAAAGCATAGGAACGTGTGGCGCTGTTTGTCGGGTATCTCCTTGAACCACTCGATCACTGACATGGTGCTCCTCCATAGGTTCACGGCCGTTTGGCGACGCACAGCAGCCACGATCTTCTCCAGTATAGCCTTGCTCACCACACCCACTTCCGATTTGGCTGGGTTAATGAGTCTGCAGGGCAGCGCTCTAGCGAAGTTGTTTTTGTGGTCTTTCAGTGTTATAAAAGCCTCCGACTTAGCCAGTACATCCATCCTGTTTTGAAGATTTAGATCCTCTGCGATCTCCCTCGCCTCGCTGTTGACTTCATCGTAAGCATTCTCAGGCGCGATCTTGTAATTTTTGGTGATGTTCTCCCTCATCAGCTTGCTGTATTGCTCTTTTGGTACTTCGTACAAATTCCGGGTTTTATCGGCTTTCACGATGATGTCCTTAGAGTTTTTGATCGTTTTGGTGTCTTTTCTCATAGTGTCTTGGAGGCTGTCTGATACTTGGCGGAAACTGACCGTTTCAGCCACGCCAATGAGGTCCTCTTCGAAGGCCTTCAGTTCATCGACTTGCGGAGGACACGTCCTGCTTCTGAAGCCGAAGCGTTCTGGTTGCTCCTCTTCGCGTTCCTCGCCATTGAGGTAGAACAAGGCAGCCCACCTCATACGCTTGATGACTTGCTCAATCCTGTCAATTAGACATTTCCGGTACTGCTTGGGTGAAGGTAGAGGGATGTTCTTCAGGGAATATCCCAGTTGCATTGGCCTTGAAGCGTCCATAGCTAGCTTGCAGTGTAGGGGTAGAGTGCTCGACTGGGTAAGGCCAGGAGCGTAGACAAAATCCGTTGATCCCCGAGCTGCAGAGAGTGCTCAATGTCAGAGACAGAGCTTAGTACATAGCAGACTCAGCGGAGGACGTTCAGGTTGGTTGTGACTCTGAGTTTCATGCCGCTAGGCAATCATCAGACAACTGATACTCGGGTCTACCCAACAGTATGCTTATAAACACATAGGGCCACACGCATAAACAAATTTAGCG